GGAGCATCTGCTCAGCCCCCCTCGTTCTGACACTACACTCTCCAGGAGGGAGTGAGCAGCGGGGGCTGCTGCTGATGTCACCTGTCCCGGAGGAACCATCCGATTCGCTCCGAGAGTCGGCGATAAAAGGAAAAAAGGGGTCAATGGCATTGTCCAGCGTGTAGCGACCCGCCACTGAGAAATATTCCTCGGCGCTTACCTTGAAACAAGGCTGCTTGTCTGCTTCTCCTCGGGGAGGAGAACTCACCAGGACGGCAGGAGGTCGGCGTGGCGGGACCACAGGCAGCCTTAACAAAGGTTGAGCTGGTCAAGATGGACAATGGGAAAAATGGGAGCTGATTACCCGCTCTTAACGTATTGTATACGGACTGGGTGGGGCCCACACAACAGGTGGGCGTAGACTAAACTTTTCAGTGCGATGCGTTGCATGACGGGATAAAACCCACCAGCGACAGCCTTAAAGGGCGACGCCTATACGAAATAGAAGGTGAAACACCCACACCTCCCTCCACCCTCATTTGCCCCACTCTGAGCCCCTGAGCAAGGCCCTTAACCCCCACCATCTGCTCCTAAACAGGTCTCTCTTGAAAATGAGTTGTTGTGGCTCAATGAGACTACCTGTATAAATAAAGGGTAAATGAAAAAAAAAAAAAAATTAATTAAAATTTCCTTTGAAAAATCTCAAATTTCTCTATGATGTGGGGATCAATAGTTTTTATAGACCTAAAAAAATTAAATCTGGTCCTCTGGACATTAAAAAAAAACAAAAAACAACAACAGCTTTGTTTTTGTTTTTGTGTGAATGTCCTGAGGACCGGATTTAACATTTTTAGATTTTTCTACCTGGGTTATTGAGCATGCATCAGGATAGTTTTTACAGACATTCTGAAGGACTTATTTTTCCACAGTGGTAGTCCTAACTGAATATTTTTAGAGGAAATGAACAACCTACCATAAGAAATACTTATAGCCCACCGGCAAACCTTCTGAGTTTGAACAGCAGGGTGGGATTACAGGCTAAATGCTTTCCATTGGCCATCATCAGTCCAACTACTAGAATGGCAGTAAATTAGCACGTGACTTTAGGTGTTTGCTTGTTTTTTAGGGCAGGGTGGACTCCATTCTCTGAAGAACTGTGGAAGCCAGCTGTTTGTGCTCAAAAAGAAAACTTTTGGTTACCAAGGTAACTGGTAAAATTGAGTGAAGTATCTCAGTACGAGAAGCCTCCAATCAGAAAACCATAAATACCATAAAGTCTATTAGTGACAAACCAATCATGTGATTAGCACAGTGTGCTACTCCCCTTTATAAGTGTCCCTGCTCTACACCCGACATTCTCAGGTATATTTTTTTCACGTGATTATGCAAGCAGGGAAGCATAGTGAGATACTTCACTGGGTTTTCAGAGAACCAGAGTTGCTCTAGCAATCAAAAGTTTTCTTTCAAGCCTTGCTCAGTATCTCACTATGGGAGACACAACTAACTCCCAGACAGAATGCTGAGTCATCACAAACTCGAGCTTGAAATCTCGTCATATCACATCAGATTGCACATGATCTTTTTTAAGGTTAGACAGAAATGGCCACAACTCCGTCTCTTCTCAAAAAAGAAGGATCTTGAAAAGTGTGCAATATTCATTCCTCCAAGTAATACTAGACCTCTAATTAAATCTGATTTTTATCTAACTGCAGTAAATATTGATTGTGTTTGGGTCCAACATTTTTGTGCAAAACCTTAAAAAATGATGTCCAGATGCACCTTTCACTGAAGACCTCCTCCAGTTCTGCAGCATCTGCACTGGCAATATCTCCAGGAGAGCAGAAGTATGAGCTCCGCTCAGCAGATTTGTCTCCAGTGGAAGTTGTTGCTCCAGGGTAGGAGGAGTCAGACCTGTCTCCACCAGTGGTACTGCCTCTGCCATGAGACTCATCACGCTCATCCTCTGCAGAGGGATGCTCAATCATCCACATGGCCAGCACAGTGATGCTCTGAGCATCTGCTTCTCCTCCAGCACCTGGAACAAGAACCACAGCCAAACTCAAACTTTCTCATGAAAATAACAACTTGCAGCCAAATACATCTATAATCTAAAACGTTATGACTTATGTGAGGATTAATTTTCTGCTAATAAAGAAAACTTGTTAGTGTGGTCTTTGTGAGCCAAAAAACTATGCTGTAAGTCAGAAACAGGAGATACAACACATGATACATGATCATATGAGGACCCTGCAGGTCCTGGTTGAGGACGCCACAAACCAGGCAAATAATGTGATGACAAGTGTCAGGCCCAGCCTGATCACTGTCATTCCTCATTTAATAGCTGAACATCTGCTGTCTTTTGTCATTCCATCACTTTATAGTGTGAGACACAGAAAGGGCTGTCGCATCCAAATACTAAAACTGAACAAGTGTGCGAGGTGAAGACCAGCTGGCAGCAGCACAGATATCACTCATAGACACCCGTGTAATAGAGCCACTGCCTGGTGGGGTGTGCTATCCAGGGCTTCATTTGAGCCCGATCCTGCTGGAACAAGAACCTGGAACTCTTATTTTGACAGGGTGCGTTCAGGTCATTGTTTGCTTGTATCTGGTAACTCTCAGGCAGAATAATAATAAGCTTATGAACAAATTTGACTGCCTTGAACAAACAAAACCTATATTGGACATGTACTCTGAAAATAATTACATGAGCACCAATTTTAAACACAACAAGCTTCGTAACATCACATCAGAGCTGTCGCTTCGCATTTCCGCTTCTACTCTCAAAAATATCTCTGCCCCTAAAAGTTCAAAGTTATTTCAAGTCCAGTTCAAAGGCAATTTTATTAAAAAACACAAAATATAATTAAAAGTTTTGCACTATAAGTTCCTGTGCTTTGTGAACAATCTGATGCGTGAATCACTGCAGGAGTTGTGTGAACTGCAGAAAAGACACGATGATCTCGGCTCATGAAGCTCTTTGTCGTGCAGTCAGAGTGTTTGAAGCTTGTCGGAGCGACCATGATGTTTCTCTGAACTGAGCAGGAGGATTGAGAGCAATACTGTTCTAAGCCACTGACAAAGAGCTAAATATTAGGCAGTTTTTTTCAAGTGTGGCCAAAAAGTTAGAGTAACGCTTGTCCCACAATGCAGAGCAGGGAGGAGGATGAGGAGGCGCACCTGACCCCGGAGTGGGATATACTAATTAAATGAGAAATGATCCTGCACTTAATACACTTATAAATCACACAAAACGTTTAAAAGTAAATTATAAATATGAACTGGCTTCACTGGTGATTTCAGCCTCTTTTTGGGGGTGCTTAAGCACTCCTAAATTTTAACTCAGCACGCCCTTTTTTTTCTTCTTGCTACTCTACGGTGAAACCAGAAGTGTTTTCCCTCTCTGCCCCTCCCCCCCACCCGCTTCCCTGCTGCACTCTTTTGTCCTGTGAACCCTTAAAAAGCCTCTTTTTTTTCCTGCATACCTCTTAATTGGAAGGATCAGCTTGTCTCTCAACAAAATCGACCAACTTCTCCCGACAGGAGTCAGGGTAAGGAGGACCCTCTTACCTCTTTAAGGAACAAATTGGATTCACGATGACGACTAGAATCTACTGTTTGGGTCGGTGGAATCTGGTTGTCTACAAATTCGTGTGGAGGTGTTGAAGCTCGACAGTGCTCGGACTGAATGTGGAGCTGTGCCAGGGAATTGGAGCAGCTGTTATCAGGACTGTGATCTCCCTGGCAGCACTCATGAATGGTGGAATAATCTGGAGAAGCTGTGAGCTCGACTTTGGAGTAAAGGATCAATTCAGCTGTTTTGGAGTTTCCATCAGAGAATATGTACCAGCGAGACTTTAAAGGCAGAAACAACAATTACGAGTTCTGCCTGACCCAAACTGTGGCCTTGATGCCGGACTTATCTCAACTCCTCCTGGAATGTTCAGAAAACAACAAAGATGCTTTGACTGTTTCCTCACCCCTCCCTTCCCCAAGGCTGTGGACATGTAACAGAACCTCAACTGAGCTGAAGATGAACATCACCTCTTGTCTGGACAATGGCTGAGGGGGGGCTCTGGACTATGCTATGACTTTCCCTTAAAAATTCAATGTTTTCACCGCCTATATGTTCATGTATAACGTCTGTTTATGTTGCTTTGCTGTGGGAAGTTTTTTTTGATGCCTCAAATTGTGCCCTGTCTAGGACACGGTGTGAGAGATCTTTTTTTATACCGTCTCTCCTCATGTTTTCTTTCCTTTTCTCACCTAAGCAAAATATTATTCTGAATAAGAATAAGAAGGCCGCGCTAATTATTTTAGCCGCAGCTTTGTGCACTCCGCACATCTTCGGACGACTGTACGTACATATTCACGTTGTATCTCGGTGCAATGCCAATAAAGTTTATTCTGATTCTGATAAATAAAGAGACCATTAGGATTTTGTAAGGAAACAGTTCTCAAACCGTAGATTCATCAAAAGATTGAACAAATATTGAACAAATGTTGAACAAATGTTATAATAATAATAATAATGAATTTAATTTGTAACGCACTTTTCATTAACAAAAATCTCAAAGTGCTACAGAGTGCAACTAAATTCAATGATAAAATCAACTAAAATCTATCACAAAAAATCAAGTAAAATCAGTGATAGAATCAACTAAAATCAATGATAAATCAACCAAAATCAGTGATAAAATCAGTGATAAAATCAACTAAAATGTGTGATAAAATCAACTAAAATCTGATAAAATCAATGACAAATCAACTAAAATCTGTGATAAAATGAAGTAAAATGAGTGATATAATCATGTGAAGGCAGAATAGGCTTGCTTAAAAAAAAAAGTCTTTAAGCCTTTTTTAAAGTCAGTCAATGATTGTGGAGCTCTCAGATATTCAGGGAGGGAGTTCCAGAGGGGGGGGCAGCCACACAGAATGCCCGGTCTCCCATGGTTCTTAATTTAGTTCGTGGAAGGTGGAGGAGATGACTGTTCTGTGATCATAGGGACCGGGTGGATGAATATGGAGCAAGAAGGTACTTCACATAATCAGGTGAAGTTCCATTTAAACACTGATGGTGATGAGAGCAATTTTGTACTGAATTCTGTAGGTGACAGGAAGCCAATGGAGGTTATGGAGAATGGGTGTAATATGTTCAAATTTACGAGCTCTCAATAAAATCCTGGCTGCACTGTTTTGAATATATTGAAGCTTCTGAAGGTTTTTGCCAGGTATTCCAGTAAACAGGGAGTTGCAGTAGTCGAGCCTGGAGGAGACAAAGGCATGGACGAGTTTCTCTGCATCAGCAAAAGTGAGAGATGGGCGCAGTTTGGAGATATTTCGGAGATGGAAGAAACAGGTTTTAAACAGATGCTTAATGTGATTTTCAAATGTAAGATGAGAGTCCATTTTTATTCCAAGATTTGTAACAGAGGTGGAGAGGGGGATGTCTTGTCCAGAAAAGGAAAAAGATGTTATAGTTGAAGTTTGAACCTGGTGAGGGATGCCAATCAGTACGGCCTCTGTTTTGGAGCAGTTAAACTGAAGAAAGTTCTGATTCATCCATGCCCTTATCTCCTCCAGGCAGGTAGAGAGGGCAGCGAGTGAAGATGGAGATGACAATGGTGAAGATGATGCTCCAGTCTTGATGTAAAGCTGTGTATCGTCGGCATAACAGTGAAAAGAAATGTTGTACTGAATAATAATTTGACCTAAAGGCATCATGTAAAGGGAAAATAGCAGGGGTCCTAGAACTGACCCTTGAGGGACACCACAGGAGACACAGACAGTCTGGGACTTGGCATTGCTAAGACTAACACATTCCAGCCTATTGGAGAGGAAAGATTTAAACCAGTCCAGGGCAGTGTCACAGAGACCGACCTCCACATGAAGAAGGTGGAGGAGGATACTATGGTCCACAGTGTCAAAAGCTGCAGTGAGGTCAAGGAGAACAAGGAGGGAGGGAGAACCAGTGTCAGCAGCCATGAGGACATCATTGGTGACTCCCAGCAGTGCGGTCTCAGTACTGTGAGCTGCACGGAAGCCAGACTGAAACTTCTCATACAGAGAGTGTTGTTGTAGGTGGATCTGCAGCTGGGCAGCAACTGCTTTTTCCAGCACTTTGGACAGAAATGGGAGGTGAGAAATTGGGCGGTAATTAGAAAGAATGTCTGGATCCAAATTAGATTTTTTCAGAAGAGGCCTAATGATGGCAGTTTTAAGAGGCAGTGGAACTTGACCAGATTGCAGTGACTTATTTATTATTTGTGTGATTAATGGGCTTATTGCAGAGTGATTGGATTTAATGAGAGATGAGGGAAAGGGATCCAGGGCGCAGGATGAAGGCTTCATTTTCTTGATGATGGTCTCCACTTCACTCTGAACAACCTCATCAAAGCAGCTCAGGGACCCAGAATGCAGACGGGTAGATGGCAGATGAAGATCAGGGAGGCTACGGAGCTGAGATCTAATGGAGTTAACTTTGTTTTTAAAAAATGAAAGGAACAGGTTGCATTTTTGAACAGAGTCCTCATGAGACTGTTTAATGGGATTAAGGAGAAGATTTATTGTGGAGAAGAGTTGTTTAGAGTTTCCAGGGCAGTTGTTGATGATGTTGGAATATTATTTGGACCGTGCTTCTTTAAGAGAAAAGGCGTAGGCTTTCTGATGTTCTTTAGATGCCTGCTGATGTACAGAGAGACCAGATGATTTTACACGTCTCTCAATAGCACGGCCAGCTGATTTCATCTTGCGCAGCTCAGCAGTGTACCAAGGGGCTGAACGGGAGAAAGACACCAGCCTTGCTTTAAAGGGAGCATGGAGGTCCAGAAGCTCCTGGAGAGATTGGTTGTAGTAATCCACAGAGTCATTTGCAGATGAATGAATGACAGCAGTCAGGGAGTGGAGATCAGAGGACAGAACCTCAGGGGAAATGTTTTTAAAGTCACGGAACTGGATAAGTCGTTTAGGATTAGGAGCAGATGAAGTTGAAGGCACTTCCAGGGAGATGGCACTGTGGTCCGAGACACCCAGGTC